AAGGCTAGACCGTCCCATTTCACAAGCCTCTCACTTCCGCACTTCTCGTACTTATAGTATGCACCGTACGTAGTACGCGTAGTGCGCGTACTTCAAGCGTGCAGACCCTGAATTGGGACACAGCCAATGTGTTCAGTTGTTGTGTGGAGAGGAATAAAGTCGGAATGGAAAGTTACAGCTCCTGTGTCGTCTGTACAATACCTCCGCAGTTTCGTATTTTTTGTCCACGACAGCAACTGGACCGGCTCGGCCTGCAGGGAGGGGAGCAACCGTGATCCCCGCAAACTTCAGCAGGTCTCAGAGTGCTGATCAGTAGTTTTGTCATGAAAAATCATCCTCTGAGCGTCTGCTCATCTGCTGGACTCTTACTGAGGATCACAGGTCTAGAAAACAGAGTCTCTGGAAAACAGAAACATTCAGGAGAGGTTTATGAAGAGTTTGCTGAGAAGTCAGACTTTTCTTTGCTATTCGGACACCTGCAGGATTATTTTCCATTTTTGGGGTGATCTGATCGTTTCAGACACCTTGAGTCGTTGAATTAGCACCATTTGATCCTGTAGGCATTGCTGAGTCCTACAGCGTGACTGACAGGTGCTAGGTCCAATCAGATCGTCTGTAGCAGGTAAAGAGTTCTGCAGTTGGTTTCTGGTTCATGACGAATGTGTTGTCTTTGAGTCTGTTCAGCAGAACAATCACAGATAAAATCTTTTCCGTATATAATAGGTTTCTATTCAACATCATATCCACTCCATCCATAAGCATCTTCATTCAGACTTAAAAATCTCCTAAAAAACAAAAACATGATGGTTCTCATGGTGTGTTTTTTCCGGCTGTGCTTGGATGAACGGTGCTTTCATGGCACTGTGACATGAATCACTCTTTGCTCACTCTTAACTGGATGTGGAACGATTCTTCACTTTTTTTTTACATCTTTTGGCAGCATGCTAAACATTAACTGCAACACCACAAATAGCTAAAGCCTCAAACTTAGTTGAACATGCTGAAGAAGAGCAGAGAGCAGATGCAAACAAACCTTCACCATGAGTGACCGACCACCAACACACCACAGAGAGGACAGCCAATCAGCAAAGAGAGGAACCAGCCGCTCAGCTATGCAGCCAGGACATGAAACTAAAGGTTGAAACAATAGATGCAGAGACAATATCAGGAGGTCCACATGGGGAGACATTTCTCTGGATCTACAATCATGTCTGCAAAGCGGTCTTCTACAAACTTCCAGAAGGTTCTGCAGACTTCACTCACTGGACAAGGTCAATAATAAAAATATAAATATTCAATAGTATAAAAGGTCAGTAATGACAAACCTTATTTTCCTCCCCTGATGAAACGGTGCGAACCTTTCAGGGGAGTGTGAGGATTCAGCCACAGGCTGGAACAAAGAAAAGTTATTTATGCTCTTAATCGCCCGACAGAGCTGCAGGTTAAACATTATCACCTTTACCTGCAATGTCCTGGCATGAAGTCTGTAGTTCATGTGAGAACAATGAAGCTAACATAATGGGAAATTTCCTGGGCAGATCCCTCACCTGAACCACACAGTGTACTCAGAGTATCACTGAAGAGTACAGCTGAAATGAGCACTTCCTGACGTGTTCTACATGTGAGACAAAGGATCAGCCTGGAGTCCTGGAAATATAAACCTTATCACTATTTGCTTTTCCCTTCATCAGGATCATCAGGCAGCTCTGATGAGACATCTCTCAGTGAGTTTATGAAGCAGCTCTCCTCTGAGGAAGAACCACCTTGCGGCGGTGATGAATGACTAGTTCCCCTCTCTGACAAACACTTTTTACCCACTTGTCTATAGCGCTCTGCTCACAGACTGATGGATGCAACAAATCAGCGACAAAAAGCTCGATACCAAAGCAATGCATTAGCTGAATTTTTTTTCATTGCCACCGATACATGAACACGCGAGCGGCTACGCTAAGCAACGTTTCCACAGAGAAACAAATGCTAGCTCAAAATCTACAGCGAGCTTAAACACAAGAGGATTACAACCATAGAACAGTAGTTTGGTCTTTTTTTTGATCAAAATAAAGCATTTAAAGTATACTTTCATATATAAGCAATAAAAAATAAGTAACATCTCAATACTCCAGTAATAACTCTTACATTAATATTGTGCTCATTGGGATTCTATCTCTTTACATATATTTATTCATTCTTATAGATAGCTATAAATATTATTTTTCTTATTTTGCATCCTCGTGCAGCAGGAACTGTGCGGCACCTCCAGCTGTCGACAGTGCAAAGACCTCATTGATATGGTTTATGAACAGACACCAGACCACCGTGGCTGATGGGAGTGTGGAAGGCAATTAGTGGTTAATGACAAGATGGTATGAGGCTGACAGTTAGCACCACAGAAGGTCCAGAGAATCAATCCACTTCAGAACTTTAGGAGGAATTGGTCCAGAGGGAAATATCCACTCAAAAGGTCAAGAATAACCATCTACCCCAATAGGATGAACCACCAGAAGGCCATTAAGGACAGCACTTCGCAGAGGTTCCAACAGATAGATTCCCTGGAGATCCATTCACTCTAGAACTCCAGGAACGATCATGAAGTTCTGAAAGACTAGACGGGCAGTTCTTCTCCAAAGGTTGGTTGCACTAACTTAAGAAGGTATTCATAACCTGATGTTCTAAGTCAGGCCTGAGAAGTATTGGTAGTTGCACCATTCAGCCTTAAGTCTTCTTGCAAATCTTGGCCTGTTCTTCAAACCAGAAAATGAAATTGTTGAGAACTATACACTCTTTTAGCAGACTGATTTGAAACAAGATAAGCTACCTGACCTAGTACATTCATCAACACTGAGAAAACCCGAGCTCCCAGAGAAAACTTCACCAGCACAACAAAAACATACAACCACTGCATAGCAGGTCCGACCCAAGCTCAAAACCAGGACCCTCTGAGGCACGGAGCCACTGTGCATTTTTTTCTATGAGCAATAAATTAATTTTACAACAAGCAAGCTAGACAGACTGTTACAGATACAACGACGAGGAGTTGACTCTCTTCATCTGTTTGAACTGACTGGAAAGCCTTAAAGTTTGAGTTGCTTCATGACCGAGCATTTAGTGGTGCTGCACTTTATCACACTTGTGCTTCATGAGCATCAACAATTACATGACCATATCCTTGTTTTACCCAGGAGGTCTTCTGTCTATGCCCGGTCAATAAAATGACTTATTTAGGTCCTAATGCCATGCTTCTCATGTTCTATCACGTTAGACTGCTTGGCGATCAGTGTGTCTTTGAGATAACTAATGATGTTTCAATTTTCTTATTTGTAGTATTTTTTTTTTAATTTACTTTCATCTAAATTTTAAAAAAAGCTGTTTTTAGCTGCTCTCTTACCACAGGGGGTCACAACAGCTGTACAAGTTTGATGTGGTAGAGGTTTACAATGAAGGCCCTTCCTCAAGTAACTAGAATTAAACCAGTGACCTTTTGTTTCCCAAGTAAATGTGTTAACCACTAAAACACCAAAAGTAAACAGTTAGCAAGAATGCTTGCTGTTACACAACACCCATCGCCATGTGCATGTTCGAGTAAACGAGCTTGCTACCACCGGGCGTAGTTAAGGCTGGCTGGTGCAGTCAACATAAAGTTCACTCTAGACTGGTCTCAAATACTGATCTTGCAGTTAGAACTGGGTTTAATAAAAGCAGCTGCTCCAACTGTCCCCCAATATTAGGCTGGACCAAAACCCTCAAGAACTCCAGGAGGCCAGAATGAACTCTCCAATGACTAAACTCCAGAAGACCAAGAGGCCAATCGGGTTGAAGACCATCAAGGACCATCTACTCCACAAGTTCAGGAATGAATTGCTGCTCCAGAGGTCTAAAAAGTAACGACTGAATCAAGAGGTTCAGGAAGGATGATCATTAATGATGCTCTTTAGGAAGCACTTCAGTGGAAAATACAAGTCAAACTCATGTCTAATGAAACAGAGCTGAGAGTGACGGACAGACAGTTCAGGACCCTGTAAAGTACCGGAGGTCTCCAGGAGAGACGTCCAAGTTTTCAGACATGGATTGTGGTCCAGACTTGTTTTGGGTTTACCGGCACAGATGTACACTAGCTCAACAGAGCCCAGAGTGTAAATTGGTTAGTTTCATGGTTTCCCTTTGACCTTTCAGGTTCTATGTGGTTTAAAACTTTCAAAACCAGCTGAGTCCTGATCCAAAGAGGTCCAAACCAGTTTACGGGTAGCTGGTCACTGCCGCCTGTTTCTGTGCGAGACGTCGCAGCTCCTCCCTGATGGCCTTTATAAGAGAGGCGGAGGTGTGGGCGGATGGTGATGCATCCTCAGGCGGATATTCTGGAGTAGGTGAGGTAAGGAGGAGAGGTGGAGCTGACGGGTCCCGCAATGAGGAGCTGGGCATCTGGAAAACAGATGAAGAGGAGAACTCAGGAAAGGACATCACCTGTGAAAAGAAAGGAGAAAGGGTGAGACATTTCAGCTCCACCTGTGCACCACCGAGCTATTTTCTTTACTAATTTCACCACTCACGCTCTCTCTGCTGGCTCCCGGCCTGGAAAGGTCCTGGTCTGAGTGCTGCTGATTCCAGCTAGAGCCAGTGGGGCCCGACATGCTGCGACCCACCCCAGGGTATGCACCAATCTGACTGGACAGACCCACCTGGGTTAGGTGATGGAGCTGTGCACCTGGAGGTCAGTGAAACCAGTCAGCAGATACAACATTAGTAAATCATCAGCCTGTGTGGAAACAAACTGAATACAGACACAGTCATGTGAGGTTTGGACGTATCAGGTTTACCTTTGGCTTTATTGTCAGAGTCATGAGAAAAAATGCCTCGTCCCACATTAACTAACCTAATCTACAGTCTCTGGGTATTCACACACAATATGATTCTTTTCAGAAATCTTGAGAGAATGATAATTCTTTCTTTCCTAAACTGTTAGAAATGCTGTATATTTGTTGTAGTGTATGGCACCACCAAAAGGCAGCCTCTACCGCACGACCAGTCAGCTGTATTATGCATTACCTCTGCACAGTTTGACTGTTTGAGACAAGTTCAGGATCTAAAACATGTCAGAAAGTGAAAATAAGAGGAGAATATTTTAGACTCAGATTTGATTCATTCATTTTACTTTAATCTGTATATTTCATGGCATAAAGTTACAGAACTGAATGTATTTATTGACTCACTGAGGCCATCCTCAGTGCTGTCACTGCCCAGCAGGGGGCTGGTCATGTTTATAGCTGCAGTGACTTCTATGAACCCCCCATCATGAAAAGTAGATACCTGCTGTTAGGTCATATAAACTGAAAGCACGGTGAGCTGTTATTTGTTGATGGCTGTGACTGTACCTGTGCTCCCTCCTACAGGTCGAGGTCTAGAGGAGGAGGGTGGGTCCTCATACTGCCCCCTGTTGGAGTAAATGGACTCCTGCAGCTGATCTCCAGTAGACACATACCCTCCTGAGCTCAGCCCCTGCCTGTAGAAACACACAGAGAATGAGCTCTGGTTCTGACCTTGTACTCAGACTAGACCAAGTCTTCTGTATTCTGATACTAACCTCTGCAGGAGGCCCTGGACTGAGGTGGGGGACATCCCCAGCTCTGCATATCTCTGCAGGAAGAAGAGAAAGAAGAGAATTAAACCAGAGCATGAGTTCCTGACAGAAGTATCTGCTTCATCTGCAGGTCCACACACTCACTGCAGAGAAGGGGCTGTGAGGGGGGGCTGCTGGGTAAGAGCCCCACTGCTGGTTTGGGGGCCAGCTCTGAGGGGAGGGGCTGGGCAGGGCAGAGCTTACCCCGGCGCTGCCCTGCGAGGACGGCGACACCAGGGCGAAGGCGTCATCCAGAAGAGAGTGCATCTGCTGCCGGGCCTCTTCAATGGAGGGCTGGGGGGGCATGTAGGGGGGCGGGGCCGGGGCAGGGTCAAAGACCTCGTCAGTGGGGGAGGGGCTGCCGTGGTCCGGGGGCAGGTCGGGGTCCGACTGTAGGAAATGAAGTAGAACATCAAGTCAGCGCTCTGCTGTCTTACAAAAAAAGTCCACAGGGCTCAAAAAGACTTCCTGTGTCACTCAGAGTTCAGTAACAGTGTACAGCTCTGTCCACGTCATGCTGACGACACCTTCAGTAACAGATCAGATCAGCCGTGTACCTCCAAACACTCAAACATTATGTGTGTCTGTGAATGCTTAGAACAGGCAACATATCCAGCTCACACCTACCTTGCTTATTTGATGGTTAAATTTTGTTTGCCTCACCATGTAGGCCACGTTGTTGAGTCCGGGGTATTTCCTGTAGGTGGCGCTCTGATCGGTGAGCAGCCGGTCTCTGTCTGTGTCAGGAAGACTTCCAGGTCCTGGCTGAGCCCGCCGACTCCTAGGAGAGCGCCTCCCTCTGGCAAAAAAACACAAGAGTTTACAGTCAGGCTGGAAACAGATGGGACAATAATGAGCTTAGCTTTGGTGCTAACAGGGATGCGGTTGGTATGTCTTAAATATGATTTATCTAGAGTTTGAGGTCTCCTGCAGGGCCTCCTCCCAACTGGGCATGTCTGGAGGTGCTCAGGAGGCACTGATCAGACTGAGAAGGAGCACGGCTCGATTCTGAGCTCCTCCTGTGTTAGGCTGAAACGGACATCTTCGAGCTAAGCTCTCTTTCTTAACCTCACAGCAGCAGTACGGTACAACTCCTGCATGGAGCACCAATCCACCAGTCCATCTCAAGCACCACCTTCCCCTTTATCCTCGAGCCCAAAGAGAAAAATCAGCTATTGTCCACACAGCCTCCAAGACCTACATCATTTGCAAAGAGCAGGGATAAAATGCTAAGATTCCCAAAATGCACACCTTCTTCACCCGGGCTACCCTTTGAGGTCATGTTCATGAATATTACCTACAGGATCAAAGACATGCACCAGCCCTGAAGGACTGACAAGAGTATTGACTATGTGTCCTTCAGACCCTCTGAGGACATCAGTCCCATTCATCTGGATGTGGTGTTTTCAGTGAGAGAAACATTTCATCATCATCCACTTCTTCTGTCTTTGCTGCCTGCAGGTTCCCCCAACCTTATAAACTGTACAATCAATTAAATCAGTGCTGCAAATTTTGGTCATTATGCAAATATAATGCTACGTCCAGATGAACAGAATCAACTTTCTGGGATTTCCTTACCTGTGTGACTGAGCATGCGTCAAGGAAGTGGAAGAGAAGATGTTTGTCTTTGAGGGAACTGAGTCACCTTTCGCTTTAGTCACACAGAAGCAGCTGTTCATGGAGAATGAAATATTCTTTTTTCACCTAAGGTAGGGTCTGACCTTTTTCTGGAGTCGGTGGGAGTTGGGGGTGAGGCAGCATCGGCCTGCAGGATGCAGTCCATGTGGTCGTGGGCAGAGCTGTAGAGTCGCTGTGCCGCCTCACTCTGAACCGGACCATCTCCAAATGCGTCCATGATGTCATCCATGGAGGGAAACTCGCACTGGCCCCGCCTCTTAGCACGCTGTCGCAGTTTGTTCCGGTGATGCTCGATCTCTGACTTGTGCCGCAGCGCCACCTGCAGGAACAGATATGGTTGACTACAGTTAATGATGATGACCTCATGGCAAGCTGTGACTGGATGTATTTTTGTTGTCAACTCACCTCTGTGTTGACCTTTTCAGTGAGGGAGGGGCTTGGCTGTGATGGGGCGTGTGGCTGCGGTGGGCTCGGACGTGGCTGCATAGCGATGAGCTGCACCTTGTTGGCCTGACGACGGGTGCCGTCAGACGACCCGCGGGACAGGCGGTCCACATGGTCAAAGATGGAGGACGAGGACAGAAGTTCGTCCGGGCCGCTGCCTGATGGAGCACCTGTGGAAGGAGAGGTCAGAGGACAGAAAAAAGTGAAAGGAGACTTAAAGACCAACAGAGAAGTGAAAGCTCAGACTCCCAGGATGCATTTCACCAGTGACCATCTACTGAAAGCTTGCAGAGCGAGTAGGTCAGTCCCATAGACTTCCATGTTAAAGCTTTACAGCAGAAATAAACGTGTTTATGTGTGCAGAGCTGCAGTAACTGCAGAAGGATAAAAAGTGACAAGAAACCAACAAGGAGATGAAGATGGCGATGATAAGGATAATGATGAAAAAGTGGGAGAAAAAAACATTTTCCCAGAACAAGCAGCAGAAGAAACAAAGAGAGAATGAAGGAAATCCCTCAGACAGACCAAGACCCCCAGCACAGAGGTCAGAGGTCACATGCAGAGGACATCCAGGAGGCAGCGATGCTTAAGCCACAACTGCGGTCAGATCTTCAGCATTACTCAGGGTTGTGTTTGTTACTGTCAGAGAAATTATTTTACCAGAAATAACCTTCAAACTATAGAGAAGTCTGAATATAAACATTTAGACAACAAGCATGTATATTCCAAGTGTACAAGAATAAGAAAAAAGAGAAGTTAATAAAGTGAGAGTGGAAAGTAAAATTCGCTCCATCATTTAGTGATGATCAGTATTCAGATTTAGCTTACTGCTGATGACTCGCCTCATAAACCAGGACCTGTTCTTCCCTTTATGAGTTAAGGTATTGTTGTCGCTGGTACTGTGATTACTGGAGACGGATCGATTTGACACAGTCACAGATTAATTATTATTATTGTTTATTCCGTAAATTTAAAGGTTGAGCTCTTGGAGACATAATTAGCTCTGTCTCTGCAGCATCGCAATGCTTCACGTGTTGATAGGAAATGTGGATTGGAGATCGGTGTGTGAGAAGGTGGTAATGTGTTGGCATGGTAACATACCCATTTTGCTCCTCCCTTCAAGTAGGCAGTGCATTAAACAGAAAAGACAAAGTTTGAACAGAGCAGAGCCTCCATCCTTTGTTTATAGCCTATTCATTACAAATACTAAAGCTGATTATGTCACTGTGGCTCTCACCATTTTTGGGTGTCTTCCTGTGCTGTTTCCCCTCGCTGGGTGTGGCCACAGGTCGGGTGCTTTCTTCTGCTGACTCCCTGCCGCTCGATTGGTCGCTTCCTAACGAGTCGCCGTCTGATGGGCTGAGCCTGACAATGGACACAACAGGTGAGTCATAAAAGTTTCACTGTCTAGTCCCTGCTGGATTAAGAACAATTTTGAGATACTTCAGTAAAAATGTTCGATGTCGACGATTTCTCCGAATGAAAAGTAATCGTGTCAACGAGCCAGTGAAGTTTATATTCTACTTTTTTTTAACAAGTTTGTTTAATAAGTCACAACATATTTCTAACCTCCCCCTGCGGCGGCTCGGCCGCGACACCTTGGTGGATGATCCTTTGGATTTGGGGGTGTTGAGGTCTCCGCCATCAGAGGGCGTGGCTTCCTTTACTGGTACAGGAAGTGGACCGGACTCCTGGATCACCATGATGTCATCCTTACTGTGCTGACCCAGGTGAAGCTTTGCAAAGTCGAAGCCTTTAACGCTGGGAGCCTGAAGCTGACAGAGGATATGGGTCAGGGGTCAGTAAGGTAACAAAAACATGTTGGTGGCTAAAATCCTAAGATTGCGAACACAGAGGACAGAAAAACACCAGATGTCATCGCCTGTTAATTTTAAAGTGCAAGTCCTTTTTGTTGACTTCTGACCTTTTGCCTCTGCTGGATGGTGTTAATGGCGTCCGGCTGGAACTCAAGCTTCTCGGAACCGCAGAGCTTCCAGTACAGAATGATGATGATGAAGACGGCCAGTACGACTGGGACAACAACACCGACAATCAGCCAGATGCTGCTGCTCTGAGTCTCAGCTGGAGGGACAGAGATCGTCTCCACAGCTGGAAACAGAATGAAAAAGATCAAACTTTATCAATATGACACTTTCTGAACCAATCAGAAGCAGTTTGGACACACTCAGCATTGGACTCACGTTGGGCCAGCGGTCTCTGCACACGGTGTCCAAGGACAATGGCGGCCCTTTGAAGGTCCACACGGTTCAGAGTGGCGGCGGTCACCTCAGCAGGGACCCTCTCTCCACCAGGACCCTCCACAAAATAAAAGACCTCCAGAGGGCGCTCTGCCCCTGACAGCCTGGAGACCCGCACCACCTGAGACACAACCGGTTCAGTGCACATTCACATTGTACAGGTACACACACCTCTCTCTGGTGGCATTACATCAGCCATCATTGCCTTGTGTGTGTACCTGTAGACTGTTGTTGCCCACTGCTGTGGCTCTCTTCCAGCGCCTCCTACTGGTTTCCTGCAGTCCCTCCTCCAACAGCAGAGCCAGACGTCTCTCCAGACGAGCCTTAAAGCTTCTCTCGGCCACCAGCTGCTCCTGAACTCCCAGCAGGACTGATACCACACAAAGGGGAGTTCGTCAGAGCGAAGCTAACACATATCATCATCCACACAGTACAAAAACATCATACCAAAATGTAAAAAAAAGAGAGTGGGTTTCTTACCTGTACGGACCCAGGTGGAGCGCAGGTGGTGTGAAGTGTTGAGCTCAGGGTAGTGAAAGGCTGTTAACAGAAGTTTGATAAAAACGCTTTACATATTGTCGGTTTAATGTTTACTGTGACGTGTGATGGGTTTGTGTATCGTCTCATACGTTCAGCGATCTGCAGCGCAGGAAATCCCACGTAGAAGCTGAACTCCACCAGGCTGAGCTTCCTCAGGTGTTCACTGACCTCTGACCCCGTCAGGTAGCCCCGGCCATCCCGCACCGCAAACATGATGTCGACGGGAACCTTCTGCTCCACCGCAGGCCGGGCCACGCTTATGGTGATGTTCAGCAACTGTGTGAAGAAGTAAAAGAAATTAGAAAAGCGAACAGCTTTAAATAGTGACCACACACGAGGCAGACTCACCTGTACAGTGGCGTTCCCTCCCTCATGCAATCTCTTCCGTGTCTCTGCGTACGCCATGGTGAGCCCTCTCTCCACCCGTTCACTGAAGTTGCAGACTCGGATGTCAACATGAGTGGGAACAAACTGCAGCACAGAGTGGATCTGATACCTGAGGTCAGGTATGGTGTACAGTGGTGAAACTGTGGGAATGGGGCCGAAGCGTGGCGGCGGTCGGCGGAGGGCATTGATGACGGACATGGCAGTGAAGATCAGCGGTCCCGACACAACGCGAAAGGCAAAACTGGATGGAGTTCTTAGGAACTGAAAAGGAAACAACCAGGGGAGAGTGGAAAGTTATTAACATTTTTTAAGTTTAGCTTAATATCTAATAAGGATTCAGTAAAGTAAATGAATAAATGAAAGAGAAGGCATTAAAAACATAAAGAAAAGTATGCACCAGATAGCATATTTTCATGGATTAAATGGTTTTTATTGATTTTTGTGTAATTTAAAAGCTTGGACCTTCTCCTGCTGCCTCTAACAGTCTGTGGACTGATTTCTATGTGAAAGACTAAAATCTAAAGGATGTCAGGTTTATAGTCCGAGTGTCTTGAAGCCTCTGCTCCCAGTAAACAACAAGCTAACATTAGCTTAGAAACAGAGTTCACTATTACAAAGTTAATAAATGACTGGCTCCCAGCACAATGCAAACTCCACATAAGCATGAACCAGAACGTCAGTGACTCAGTAACACACAGAGATGAGTCTCTGGTCATTGGTTGGTTGCTTTGGACAAACTAATGAGGAAGAAAATCCAGTGAGAAAGACAAATATTAGCCGATCATTGTCTGTGTGTTTGACTAAATTCTGACCAGTACTGCAGATAGAGTAGTGATTCTTGTGACTGCAGCCGAATGAGCTAAAAACAAACACTTCAGAGCGAGAACGTTAGAGGGCAGGCTGGGATTAGCCTGTTTCATGTGAAGTCTGTGAAGCAGGAGCTTGACTGTGAGGGGAAACCACAGTCAGCATCAGCAGGACGGAATCATGCAGATCTGAGAAGCAGCGATTCTGTTTGTACCTGCAGCTCCACTGAGCGGTTGAAGTCTTTTTTCAGAAGATCTCGGACCTGACTGAAACCAGCAGACGAGCCTTTGGAGCTAACTGCAGGGCACACAAACATGGAAGACATCAGTGATTAGACAGAAAATGTGCAGCACCTGGAGGTACGGTCACATGACCTTCTAAGGCTCTTACCTACTCTGACCAGGTACATTTCTGGCTTGGTGACATTGCACAGGTATTGTCTGGTGGGTGGTGTCTGGGCCACTCTGGGTGTGGTGACTGGAGGGGCTCTGGTCAGGCTGATGGCTGTGATTTGGGTGGTGGTGATGATGGCGGTGGTTGTTGTCGTGGTAGCCTTAGTAGTGGTTGCAGCCTTGGTGGGAGGAGCCTTTTCTGGCATCTCAGTGACCACTGTGGGCCTCTCTGGCCTCTCAGGGCGGGTGGGGGGTCCCAGCGGCGGAGGGGGAGGCACCCAGCTGGTGGTGTTGGACGGGGATCGGGAAGGGTGCCTGCTTGGGACCGAGACATAGTCTTTGTGTTTTGGAACAAGAGCAGTAGGGGTGGAAGGGATCTTGGGGGTGGCTGATGGAGCAGGTGTCTTCTCCTCACCTGTGAGGATAGGTGTAAGGGTGAGGGGAGGTGTGGGCTGTCTTGGGGGATGCTTAGGCTCCAATCCTACAGGAGCAATGGGGCTCGAGGATGGGGTAGAAGGTGGATGGTGGGTGTGTGTTGCTGTAGGTGTAAGGACAGGTTTGGAGTCGTTCTCATTTACCTTTTCCTTCTCCTTCTCCTTCTCCTTCTCCTTCTCCTTCTCCCTCTCCCGAGCCAACAGGTTTGTGTAGTACTCCAGGCTGTTCATGTCGGGCAGCAGCAATTCCGTCGGCTCCAGTGGGATCATGTCCTCCAAGTCATAGTCCTCATCCCAGGTGGGGAAGACATCCGGATGGGCCGGCTGAGTGTGAAGGGGAATGTTGGGGGTTGAGGAGGAGGGGGAGAGGGGAAGTTTGGATGACAGTGAGAGGGTGGGGCGAGCAGGAAAGGAGGTGTCATAAGAGACCCAGTCCCCCCCATTGTCCCCATCATAGGGGTGGCTGGGCAGTGGCGTGGCGAGAGCCATCTCGTCACCTTCAGGTACCATGAAGGACAGAGTCTCCAGGTAGTCCCCAGATCCCCAGGCCTCTTCCAGCGAGGGCCCCTGTTCCCAGGGGGGAGGAGGAGTGAGGGTGGGCTGGCTATGTGGGGGGAGTGGTGGAGGTAGACTGGGGGACAGGAGGTCTGGAGGTCTCAGGAGGAGGTGGATCCCCTGAGCACCAGAGTCTGGGTCCTCTGCTGAGCCTGCACCACCACCGTTACTGTGGTATCCAGAGTCTGAGGGGTGGCTGGGAGGTGAGGGTCTAGAAGAGGTGGAGGATGATGATGGTGATGGTGGTGATGACGGATGTGACGAAGAATCAGTCGTTCTGTTGAATTCCAGCACAACTGTGGGCCAGAAGGACAGAAATCATGAATTTAAAAGCTCAACATTATACCTAAAGAGTGAGCGTGTGCCATAACCAGATTGTTACCAAACACGAGGGAATGAACCTGAAGGACCCTGAAAGAAACTGATAAACATGAACAAATCTGAAGACCCTGAAGACCCGAATAAACCTAAGGACTGGTAAGAACCTAGGGACCCCGAATAAAGCTGAGGGACCTGAATAAACCTAAGTAAAAAGTAAGAAAGTAAAAGCAGATCTATGGAGGACGTTTCTATTTTTGTGCAAATCTAACTGAACTTTGTGCTATATTAACATAAAGGTAAAATACTATCAGTAGATGGGAATACAAACTTTAGTCTGTTTTTTATTCTAATTGCAGTCAGCTTTAATCTGAAAAAAAAAGAAGGAAAATAAAAAATATATCTGTTTTCTGGTGCCTGCATTGTAGAGGGTGACTTTGCTCTAAACAGGAAATGACTACAGTCACAGGTTAAAGTGGATTCAGCAGGTGGGGGAACACTAAAAAATCAGTTTTAGTGGCTCAGTGTGAGGAAAAAAATCAAACTCACAATACTTTCTACTGAGAGCTCCGGTAGATTTTCTTAATGTAGAGGCTGTGATCAGCTGACCTGCTGCTCTTTGCGGATTTACACACCTGAATTCAACCAGATGTGAGCAGATGTTTCATGAGTTGTTCTGGCTGATTTCCATACACTGACAGTACACTGTTTATGCTGTCTTTATATCGTTTATATCATTGTTTTCTACTTTAAATCCATCACAGTTCACCAAACTAACCTGCTTACCCTGCACTAACTTGCAGAGGATTTTCATGCAGCCTTTAAATAACTCAGTTAAGTCTACCTCAGTTTGTTTAGCAGCATGATTCGCAATATGAAGAAACATAATTTTCACATGTACAAACATGATGCAAAAACATGTAAGCTTTCTTTTCTCTCCCTGTTAAATACAGCAGCTCAAAGAAAGGGTTGTAAACCAAAACTAATGAGCCTGTTTTGAAAATGTAAGGAATAGAAAGTTCAGATACTTATTTAAAATGTAGGGAGTAAAAGTAAAAGGTCGTCAGAAAAAAAAAAGTGCAGATACTTAAAATCTGTAAGTAAGTACGAGTAAGTGCAAGCTCCTTTGACTAAGTACAGTAATGAAGTATTTGCACTTCATTTCTTTTGACCTGCCAGTGGCACACTCGTTTTTACAAACATATTAGTATTTTTGAATTATGATTTGAAACTGATCACAGCACAAAATAAAGGATAAACTCTGAAATGACAAAGCGTCACAAACACAGATCACCTTAATGAGACCGAGCTGGTTCAGCTTCTTTACAGCATTCATTCACACAGCAGAAACACACTCCTCTTTTTCCTCCCTTGTAGTCTCTTTAAAACCATTTGTCTTTATGACGTACGCACACACACACACACACACACACACACACACACACACACAGCCTTGACTGGGTCTCTTTCATCTGGTCTTGGCCTTGTTGCCGTGGTGACGCCGTGCTTTGCGGCAGCATCACATGCAGAACAGAGACGAGTCATTGGTATTCAGGAGACGACGCCCTCTCACACACAGACAGACAGACTGATAGATCGATAGATGCAGAAAATATTTATCATTTTGTAATGATAAAGAATCTCTTCAGATTGATGCACTAGGCTAACTGCTAACCTGTATTTATCTGAGCTCCTGTATTTACTGCTCTCAGCTCTGAGAAACATCTCCTGTTATTCCTGACTCTGAGGTGCCCTCACAGAACAGCTGTGGCTGAGGTGTTTTATGGCAGCACATCTGCTTCTGTTCTCCGTCACATTTATTTTAAAGCGTTGGGTCCTTCTGATTTGCAGTCTAAAATATAAATCTAATCAAATATGACACGATAGTATTATAGATAATCTCTTCAGCAGTAAACCTTATTCTTCTTTCACCTGCTTCCATTAGGGGGTGCCAAAGTGGATCATCTGCCTCCATCTCCCACCATCCTCCTCTCACACTGACAACTCAGCATATCCTCCTTCACTACATCCATGAACCTCCTCTGAGGTGTTCCTTTTCCCCTCCTGCCTTGCAGCTCCATCTTCATCCTCTGCCCATGCTTAAACCATCTCAGGTTTCCCACTTCACTTTGTTTATTTACAGTTTTTTATTCACTAAGCGTTCATTATGCGCTTGATGAGCTCTCACATCTGTTTTATTTCACATCTGCGTTGCTCTGACGGCTCATGGCACAGGTGCTCTATAGAAGAGCAGGTGGAGAATAAAAAATTAGCCCAGGGAATTGAGCTACATTTCATTGTGGATGTATGACCATGTGATGTTTGTGGTTTTTCTTTCAGTGCACTGAAACAAGTTTCTACATCTTCATCAGGTTGGACAAACTCATCTTCAGTCTGAATTAAAACACAGCCATGGGTTGAAATCTGACATCCATAATGCAACATGTGATCCACAGAGGGCGCTATAATAAACACACACTCCCCAAATCTGTCATCTCTAACACAAGTCCTGAAATGTCGAGTGACGTTTCAGGACTAAAAGTGACATCACACCAACACAGTCACAACCAGCTGACCTCTGAGAGCTGTTTGTGATGAAGCAGCTTCCTGCTGCCTACATCTGATCAGCTGATGTCAGTGTAAACCTCCACAGTCTGACATCAGCAGGTCATGTGACTCTGTGTGTGCGTGAGTCAGTAATGTGGGAGGATGACAATATGGAGCTAAAATGAGACTCAGAAGAAGATTCCTGCACTGCAGTCCTTTTGAGGAAGTCCATGTTCATTTCCTGCTGTGTACAGATGGCTCAGAGGTCAGAGGTCAACATTAACAGCTAACAGCACCTAGCAAGTTTACCTGCAGCAGGTGAGCTTGAGGTCACCATGGAAACCAATGTGCCAGCCACCAGCAGGACCACACCTAGGGTTTGTCTGCAGGCCGAGGTTCTGCGTTCCATCCTGGTCCTGGTGCTGGAGCTGGGGCCTGGCGAGGTCACAGCGTCCATCGTCCTCAAAGGACCGGCGGTGCGGTCCCGCTACAAAGAGCCGAAGGCCCCTCAGGAGGACCTGAGTAGCATAAAACAGCAGTCAGAAAATGTGTGTCCTGCAGGCTTCGAGAGCAGCTCAGGTCTGAATGAAGATCACAGCTGACATTTCTGACAGCATGCAGAGCGGGGTCAGGATCAGGGCTGCCACACCATCAGAAGGTCAGTTAGACATGTACCTGCTGCTGGACCCTCACACCTGAGTCACCTGATTTCAGCAGCTTCACATCCTTCATTCTGGAAGGGTGGAGGACATAAACCCAGAACATCTAGGCTTAGGTTACAGTCTAACTCTGAACCTGAAACACTTTCTCTGTGAAGATGATGAAGACCTGCTTCAACCTGCGGGTGGAGCATCTGGACCACTGACTCATTACTTCAGTGTCCAGGTTTGTGATGAAGGCTAGCGGGGCTTTAATCTGCACATCTTTCTGATCGTGTCTCAACTTTAACATCAACACTTCCCTGTGAGTCAGCTCATCGTAACCAGGCTGAGCTGAGGACAGCTCTCAGGTAATATTAATAAAGAGATTACACGCAGTGTCACGTGATCCCTGCTGCTCCTCACAGCCCCTCAGTACCGAGCAAAAAGGGAGCTCTGCTTTCTCTGCAGAGCACGATTACAAATGGGTCACTGTCCCAGACCCCGGAGCCTACGAGGGTGTGCGGCTGAAGCAGGAGGATTCAGGCTCGGCTCCACCTGCGCCTCCACCTGCAGGGATTTTTCTGTTTGCGCAAAACATGAAAATGTCGGTTTGAAGGATTTCACGTGTTTGCATAAAGAACCTTCAAAAATGATCAATCAGTCAATAAATCAACCATCGATCAATAAGTGAAACCACAAATACGTGACGGTGATTATTAAAAGGCTTCCAGCTGTTTGTCTGACCGGCTTTCACAACTGTGCCTAATAAAGTGACAGGTTGGTATATTCTCTGTCAGTCCGGGTTTTTGTGCTCTGCTCGGCTCCGTTTCCAGAACACTCACTCCTCTGCCGGTCTGGCTCGGCTCGGCTCGGCCTCCTCTCAGACTGACCCCATTATCGGACAGATGCTAACAGCCTCCACCCGCCCGCCGAGTCCGCGAGGTGGAGGCTGCATCCGCTCCGCATGTTCGTGTCCGGGGCTGATATGCAACCCCCCCCCCCTTCCCCCCCTTCCCCCGGCGCGCTCCAGTCCGGTCCGGCACGGCCCAGTTTACCGTGAGGACGACGCTGACTCCGGTGCACGGCTGAAGGAGCCTCGCTTCTTATAGCGGCCGCGGACACACAGAGCCGCAGACCCGGGATCACATTCAGACTGCAAGCCGGGCCGGGCCGAGCCGAGCCGGGCTATTCTCACTGAGTCTCTGCCACGGCGGAGACCTACCTGCCATCCTGGAGATGCGGTTCGGGTGCGTCACGCCTCTCCAAGCCGCGCAGCGCGCTCCCTACGTGGGGAAGAAGGAGGCGGAGAGTCCCCGCAGAATCACACCTCCTCCTCTTCTCCTCCTCGGAAACAGCAGCAATCAGCCTCCACCGCCCGGTGGTGTCGGTGCTGTCCGAACCCGTCACATTCACAGCGCGTCCGGTCCCGGTACCAGTCCAACCGGCCCCTCCCAGCATCATCTGACCCGACCTGCAAGTCAAAGCGCTTCTTCTCACACACGGACCGTTATTTGAACCCGCACCGGCACAGGGCCAGGACAGCCGGATCTGACCATGAAAAAAAAGACAGCAGAGAACTGCTCAGCTTTTATTTTATGAAGCCAACAAACACACACACTCTCTCTCTCTCTCTCTCTCTCTCTCTCTCTCTCGCACGCACACACACACTCTCTCTCTCTCGCGCGCGCGCGCGCGCACACACACACAAACGCACAGACTCTGCTCATGTTTTTATGCTTCATGCAGACTTGGGCCACGGGCACAGCGGTGCACAGGTTAGCAGGAAGGTTGTGGGTTTGAATCCCATGGTCAGTTGGGCTCTGCGTGTGTGTTTGGTAACAGCTGACTTAATTCAGGTGTGTGAATGTGAGTAATAAAGTGCTCTGATTGGTCAGTTAGACTGGAAAAGATTAAGATACCAACCAGTTTATTTGAATGCTGCTGTTTCTGTTGAAGGTCACCCTCCGTATTTTCACCTTAAAGACGAACTGAGCACTCCTACAGAGAACAGCTGATACTCGACAACAGTGCAGCCATAATAGAGGAAGCCGGCTCTGAACGGACCGACGTCACGGGCGTTCCTGTCTGTGCTGAAGTTTGAGTCTGCAGTAATTCTGCACACGTTTCATATTTAGTTCAGTTAACGATCGCGGCCGTTTCTTTGGGTCTGTGAGGGGTCGACCAGGATTCTGTGATCACATGACTCAATTTTCAAACTGTTGGTTTAAGGAAATTATTGATGAGGACACCAAATAAAAAGAAAGGTAGACTCAGAGTCTGTGACAGCAGATCTTCCTGCAGCTGAGAGAGCCACGGAGGTCAAGACAAAGACATTAATAAAAGGCTCCAGTAAGAATCACTCCATTTTATTTACAGCACCAAATTACAACAACAGTGACCTCAAGGCGCTTTATATTGCCTAAAGCCCCTACAAAAATACAAATACAGGTAGAATAAATTTCCCCCACACAGGCACATACACACAGAAACAGAAAATAATAGAAGTGGTTAACATGCTCAGTGACTGCATCAGTAATCATTTACAGACGTCCAGGAAGTGATGAAATCTTGAGCAGCAGCACCTGCTACTGTGATAAGGCACCCAGCCTGGTCCAGTCAACATAATTGGGTCACATTTGACTTCCTAACACCAGCACCTGCCTCTCCACCTCCTCCCGGGAGACGAAGCGAGGGCGACGGCGGACTTTCCTCTTGGTGTTGTGCTTGTGGTTCCTCTGGTACATGTCTGCAGAGAGAGAGAGAGAACATGCTTAGACACCATCAGGAAGCGGTAACAGAGGAACACACTGGGACCTGAAGCCTAAAGGCTGGGATGTGTCTATGTGCTGAATCAGGGCATGCCATTGTGTCTGGGACATTCCCAAAACTTCATTCTGGGATTCTGGAAGTTTCTGTCGGAATCGTCACCTCTGACTTTCCTGCCCTGACTGTGGCCCTCACTGTGGAACTGTGAGTCCCCACATGGAGGGATGCTGGACTGGATCTGGGCCTAACCTGACCACTTCATTAACTCAGTTACACCTGGGATGCAGGTGACAGGAAGTAGTACCTTGGAAGCTGATGATGTACTCTCTGTAGCCTTTCACCACTCTGACTTCAGCTCTTCTGTCAGACAGGTACTTCTCCTCCAGAGTGCAGGATGTCTCCGATGTGGAGCGCAGCTTCTCATCCTGAAGGATGTATGAGACAGACATCAGACCTGGAGCTTAATAAACATTTTCTGTATTCCTCTACAGCTCGCTCCCACACAGTGATCCTAAAGGTGCTCCAACTCACCAACTCTCCATACTCCACCCAGTTCCCACGGTCCCCCTTGTAGTACCACAGCCATTTGGTGGTCAGTGTGTAGTACAACGGCTTCTTTACGGAGGAAACTGTGGAGAGACGGCGAACAGGCTGCATCCCTCGAGTCATCGTGATGAAGTCGATCATCTGAACACCAGCGCTGAAAATCATGGCAGCTGTGAGTGGCTGATGCATGAAAAACATCAACAACTTGCACTCACTGTGACCTCTGACCTCTCAGTCCTGGACGGATCGCAGAAGTCTCGCTCGATGTCCTCCATGTTCTGCAGCTCCGTCCAGGTGCTGCCATCTAAAACCTCCCACTTATACGGCAGGTGGAAGTGCACCTGCTTGCACAAGTCTGCAGAGAGACCGAAAGACTGAGGCGAAGCCAATGAGCACGAACACAGAAAACTCAGCGCAACCAGCAGGAAATCATAAAAATCACACAATCATACAATCACAAAATAACAAAAATGATATTAATAATAAAATATTAATAATTAAAAATAAATCACACAATCAAACAGGACTGTTCACATGAAAAATAAAGGAAATCAAAACAATGAGCACAAAATAATACATTTTTTTCCCCACTGGCAGATTTGACAGAAAATGTTATCTAGGAAGACAAATTTGAATAAAATATAATTTATAAATTTCAACTCTTTTGAACATGATGTCATGTATATACATTAAATATTTGCACTGAAGAAGATTTAATATGAGAAAATTTGATATTTTAAACTGGATGTTTCCAGAGAAACCAATCAGATGCCAGCAAGGCACGAAAAATATTTTAAGTTTTAGTGAGAAAACAAATAAATCTTTATTTATAAAAAGAGTGAGTCAGCTTCATGTTGGAGTCTGTACTTCTACCCTGTGCTGCCACCTACTGGATGCACACGACTAAGTGCACAGCAGGAGGCTGAAAGAGACGTCCTGTGTGCCGTTTCCTCTCAGCCAATCAGATCCTCGCATGAAGAAAGTAGGAAAACTCACCCTGAAACTTGCAGCTGTTCCTGAAGAAGTGCAGGCAGATCTCCAGAGGGTGAGACGGCTCAGGAACAATGTCTGAAACATAAAGAGCCAAAGTCAGGGTACAGAGCGCCTCCTTGTGTTCACGTCAGTAACATGTAATCAGGTAATAACACACACATAGACACTGAACGCCATGTATGAAATCTGAATCTTGTGTCATGTTTATGGATAACCTCCTCATATTTGTGTAGCATTATCAGATTATCACACTGAAACACCAGCTTCGTAACATTATTTATATTTTTGGTAATTATGACTTCAGTGAGGAGACATTGTTGTGTCTGTGAGGCAGTATTCGCTTGTATAAAAGGCTTTTTTTTCTTCCATATTTATGGAATTATTTTCTCCTTTTTATAGAGCAGATTTCTAATACTGATCTGACTTTTTCTGATCAGCAGGTTTCCTCCTGACTGTCAAGGTTCTCAGGATCAGCAGGTTCTGTTTCAGGCTTCAGTCTCACCCATGGAGGTGGTGGAGGTGGAGGCCGCTCTGAGCTGGTGGATGTTGCTGTAGATGGAAGGCAGGTTGTGGATGATGTTACAGCTCAGTCCTCTCTCCTCCAGCATGCGGCGGCCGTGCTCGTCAACGGCATGCAACCGTTTGCATTTTTTTCCAAAGATGCAGTCGCCCTGCACAACGTGCTGGCACAGGTGCACTTTGGTGCAGTCGCCCCGGAAACTACACCTGCCGTGAGGCCCCGAGCCTTTGTTATAGTGCACACAGACCTCAGAGAGAGAGAGAGAGAGGGAGAGAGAGAGAGAGAGCGAGAGAGAGAGAGAGAGAGAACCTTCATGATTGGGTTAGAGAGAGTGTGTGTGATTTTTTTTTTAAGGATCCAGCTGTCAATCACATTTTTACTGAAAGTCCCTTAAAAGCAGTGTTTGTCACAAGCGTTTGTTTTGTGAATGTCACAAATGTTGAAGTTAGTGATGAAGTAAATGCAGACGGCTAAACAGGATAGATAAATGATTAGAGTAAGGGTTGTCAAAATTACAGCCCGTGAGATATGCCAGTCACAGCTGGATTGGCCATCGGGCATTCTATTTGCCCGATGGGTGGATGGTGATTTCTCGCTTTTAATGGGCCGATGTTTGTTTTGGCTTGTTTGTTTGTTTTGTAACGGTATAAACAATGGAAGGTGGTGGATTGGCCAATTGGTCATGATCTACTCTGGGCTGGACCAATTACAATACATCCGTATTGTGGTGAAAAGGAACGTGATTTGTCCCGCACTTCAGCTAGAATGAAAAAAGAGACACAACGCTGGAGTTATACTGTGTCTTTACGCTGTCAGCTACCTCTTCTTCTCTCACTCTCTCCCCCTCCCTCTCATGTTGCTATTTCAACCATGAAACTGATCAATGATCAGCTGATCGGCTTTTCTGTCTCAAGTCTCATCTCTCTTTGGCCCACCTGTTTGCTCTACTTTGCGCCAGAAAGAGGAAACCACCGGATGTTGCGCTAAACAACAGCAGCATGTTTAAGCTTGATCAGCTGTTGTTAGCATTTATTTAATATTACTTTCTAGTATCAGCTGATGTTTGCTGGAGCCACAGCTGTAAAAGCTGCTGGTCATGATATCGGTTTGGATACGTGGTGAAGATGAAACCAGGAGATGTCCTTACTGAATCATCAGAGCTGAACAGGTGATGGAGAAACAGGTTTACCTTTTAGGTGACAGGAATGATTTGAAGGGAAGTTATGAACCGTTTCTGAGAGACAAATAACACCAGGATCTTGTTCTACATAGCTGACAGCTGGTAACAGTGCAGGGGCGGGTCTAGCAAAGTTTTGCCAGGGGGCCAGGTATGGCATTAACAGGGAAAGGGGGGCACAAAGAAATACTTTTTTTTCTTATTCTCATAAGAAATGATATCTAGAATTGTGTATAGAAATCATACATAAGACAGTGTACACAAGAGTGTTTGTTTTTTTCATTCAAAGGCTTTATTGCTTTTCCTATAATAACTGGTGGGCAGGTCTCTAGTCAAAATGCCCGGGCCAATTTTTTGTTCCAGTCCAGCTCTGATGCCAGTTATTAATGGCCCGTCAGTACGTGGGAGTCGGGTCTTCAGCCCTGCTGAGAACCTATGCAGGCAGGGGGAGTGCAGTGGTACAGGCTGGTACACAAGCGTGTCAGGAAAAAGTGAGGAAAGAAGCGAAAATGTGAAACAAGCAGCTTCTGGCTGCCGTGAAACTGGAGATCGAAAAGCTGAGCGCAAAGTTTATAAACTCTTTCCCATCTTTTTATTGTCAGCTATTTTCCAAAAAACGTTTCAAACTTGTCCTTGAACCTCATGTGTGCCCTCCCTATAGTAAATCCATAAACATTCAACCTTTATGAAAACACTGAATAAAAACAACTTCTGTGAAAGAGACTAAAGTTACAGTTCAGTGTTGAATATTACATAAAATAAATTTATATAACGTGTGTTTGAATGGCAGAGATGTGTGCATGTAGCGCAGAGCCATGGCTCAGTGTCTGAGTGGGTCTGAATGTACGGGTGAGGTATTCTCATGTTTTTACAGGCACGAGCTACCAGAACTTTGATTTCTTTGAGTTTAAAGAGTCTTGCTGACAGAGTTTTTTTTAATCACAGCAGCTATTTCTCCATTACATAGAAAAACAGTTAAATATGTGACTCCACTTTACACTGACAAAAGTTTCACTGGTCCAACCCACTTAAAAGGTCAAAGTTCGCTTTATGTGGCCCGCTGTGTAAAATGACGCCCCTGCATTAGTTTCTGGTTACCTGAGGATCCTCAGTCATGTCCAACTTTCGATTTTTATTTTTTATTTTTGTTGTTTTTGTTTTACTTTCAGTTTCAGTTTCTTCTTCTGTGGATGTTACGTGACTAAAGAAGCTCTGTGTCCTCATGTGAGGCAAACAAATGGTGAGCCTGTTGCCATGGTGATCTCATACATGCTGCGTCTCATCACTTTCTTATTCACTTTTTTTTTTTCTTTAGGAGCGTCCCACGAATCTGTGCACAGTTGCGTTTCTTGTGAAAAGGGCAGAGTCGTCTCATCTGCTAACACTGAGCACGTCTCCTGAGGACCAGCCTGTGACGTCAGTTGAGTGAGGTGTGGGCGTTACCTCGGGCAGCAGCGCCGGGTCATTGAGCAGCAGCAGCAGGAAGAGCTCGTCCTCGTTCAGCTGCTGCAGTGAGCACTCTTTCAGCAGCCTGGAGTTATGATCAGACTGCAGGTCGTGGGATGATCGACATGGTTTCCTGTGAGGAGGTACATTTACCATCAGCTCCTCTCACCCCGCTGTCAATACCAGTCAATCAACCAATCAATCCATCAGTCAATCAATCAGTCAGACAGATAGATAATGGATCAGTGGTGCATGCTGTAGCAGGTGAGTGTTTTCAGGACTGAAGCTGGTTTGTGATGATCGTCTGCAGAATCAGTTAGCATGGTGATGCAAACAGGTAGGAAGTGAAACTCCTTGAGTTCCACCTGATCTAGAACGGTGGCATGGGGTGGCAAGGGATCAAACAGGTTTACCTTTTAGGTGACATGAATGAGTTGAAGGGAAGTTATGAACTGTTTCAGAGAGACAAATAACACCGGGATCCTTTTCTAAGTAGCTGACAGCTGGTAACTGTGCAGGGGCGGATCTAGCAAAGTTTTGCCAAGGGGGCCAGTTAGGGCTTTAATAGGGAAAGGGGGGCACAAAGAAATACTTTTCTTTCTTATTCTCATTTAAAATGTCTAGCTTTTAAAAAATAATTATCTGAATCTTACAACAAACGATTGATAGATTGATACATATATACTATCAAGACAGTGTACATCACTGTCACAACAGCGTTTGTTTTCATTCAAAGGCTTTATGATTTTTCCTATAATGGCGGGCCGGTCTCTAGTCAAAATGACCGGGCCAATTTTTTGTCCCAGTCCAGCCTTGTATGCAGCTCATCTGCAGTCTGGTGTTACCTACATCTTCCTATTCCGAAGGCAGGATTTCAGAGTTCTGAGTACAATCGAAAGCACCACGACTGCAGTTTTTGTGTTGGATGTAAAAGGCGCACATGACGCTGTGACGTAGGCTAGAATCATGGTAGCAGTCAATGACGGTCCAGGAGTGGGATTTCTCTCGTGGAAATATGCAAATTATCTTTTCCTTTCTATTGGTAGGTGGCACAGTGCAAGTTACTTTCCCTAGTAAGTAGTTACTTTGAAAGTAACGAGTAACTTGAAGTAACTGAGTTACTTTTGATAGAAGTAACTAGTAATGTAACTAAGTTACTAATTTAAAGTAACTTACCCAACACTGAATCCAGAGTTATGATAATATATATAAGCCATGCTTTTTTCTAAATACTGTAGTCACGTTTTTGTGTGTGTTTTAAGCGTTTTC